GCAAATCTACAGGACATAACTGTAGGTCAGAGCTCAGGGAGGGGTTGGGAAAGGGTTGCTCATAAGCACAGTGTTTATTCTGAAGAGGATGAAAAGGCCTTGAACTAGAATGCGGTGACTGGCTGCACTACCCTCTAAATGTGCTAAAAACTATGACACTGTACACTTTCAAGTGAGTGAATTTTATAGTATATGAACTATGTCTTCATTGTTTCCTAAAAATCCCACTCCACTTCTTTATTCTAAGGCTAGCCAGCTTTACTCTTTTATAATTCATCAATGTACACCACCTTCTAGTCTGCACACTCAGCCTAATGAAAACTTCTTGCTTAGTTCAGTTCTCCAGTTCTTCCCATTTCCTGGCATTCTCTCCCTGAGGCACAGTCAAGTTACACGTCCATCCCGAACACTCTTCTGACCAGCTCAATCCTCACTGACAATGTTTTGCTGTATATTCCATAGTGCTTACAACTAGTAGCAGTGTAATTTGAAGTGTATATACAGTTTCACCACCTTCCTCAGAAATTTTGAATCTGTACAGCCTCTAATTCTTGTCTTAATCTCTCTTGTCTTTTCAGAGACAAACTACAGGAATGTCTGGACTTACCATGGGGCTACATCCTGATGGGCTCCAACTTAGGACACTGCGTGGCCACGTGGTGCAGTGCAGGAGTATGGGTATTTATCCTCAGGACCAGATGGCTAACTGGGAGCTGCCGCAGCCCAGCATCATGACAGGAAATATACAAAGTCCAGAAAAAAGCTCAAAATTCAAAATTTCAAGTACAATTTCTGGGCTAGGGTATAGCCGAGCAGGAAATATTTGCTTAGCATGCACTAGGCACCGGGTTTAATCTCCACCACTACAGAACCAAAAATACAGTTTCTACTGAATGCTTAGCTCTTTGGTAGCATCATTAAAGCAAAAATAATGTAAGCTGAACTATCCCAAGTCGGGGACCAACCACAGTTGCTTCAAAACTATAAAGATCAATATAATCTGGGAACTCGGAGCATTACGACAAAGCAGAAAAACAATACTGTAGGATAAGCAATATGAAGGGTGCATAAAAGCGTACTCTTTCAACCCACCAACCCCACAGGCCAGAACCTCAACTACATCTCTACACTTCCATGAAGTTGAGCAGAGCATCTTGAACACAGATGGTACCAAATGTCTGCTGAATGGCAAATGAAGGTGTTGCACACAACTTTTACATAGGCATTCAGCAGGCTCCAAGCCTTCACAAATACCCAGAGTCCTAAAGAAGGAAATGGAATGAAGGAAAGAAAATGAAAATGACAGGACATATATTCACTTCTAAGAACATCAGAAGCGCACATTCCTGCTGCACCTCTTCACAGCCTTAGGGGCCCCAAACCTGAGTGGACACCAGGCATCCTTACCTTTAAATGCTACTAACACTTCAATGCTGTTGTAGAAAAAACTGCTACGAAGAGAAGCAAAAATTTAAATATAAAACTTCAATTCTTCCTAAAAGTGACCAACCAGACTCACATCCCTTTGCCTCTATTAGCAGCTAAGAGGAAATTACCAGTGAATTTTGGCATGAGAGTGGGAAGGCACTGCAGCCTCACACGCGGCGCATGTCTGTAATCCTAGCACCCTGGGAGGCTAAGGCAGGATGATCACAAGTTTGAGCCAAGCCTGGGCAACTTAGTAAGACTGTCTCAAACTTTAAAAAAGAGGGACTGGGAATCCAGTGAGATGGCCCTGGAATCAATCATCAGTACTCAGAAAGGCAGGGGAGGGAGGGGACTGCTGCCAAGGGATCAAAGGTTGGTAAAGGCAAAGGATAAGTCTTACTATAGTAGTTGAACTTCTGAAAGCAACAAAGACAGCAGGCCACAGATGGCCTAAAAGTCTCGGATTACCGAAATCTGATCTACACCCTGCCTCCAGGGACCCAGGGTCAGTGCACACAAGGGTACATCTCTGGAAGCACTGCAGGGGCCAAGCCCAACTCCTCTACATAAAACTCCTCTCTAGTCCTGCAGGAACCACATAGCACTTCTCATCAACTTAGCTTTGGGAACGTGAGTTGTCCTATTTCGAGTCATACATACTGGTGAAAAGCTTGGGGTTTGGAGGTCAGAACACACAACACTCACTCTGCTCTGCGGCGGAGATTTCCCTGGTAGCATATCAGTTATTCTACATTTATCATTATTAAAACTTGTTGGAGGGGGCTGGTGAGATGGCTCAGTGGTCTAAAGCACCTACTTAGAACAAGCTTAGCAAAGCACAGGGACCGCGGTTCAAGTCCCCAGCACCACATGCCAGCCAGCCCTGGTGGGCTGAGCTGCCCCCCCCCACACACAAATAAATAAATAAAATTTAAAAAAAAAACGTGTTGGAGAATTTTTTTAACTTATTTACTTTGGGTGCCTCTACTGTTACCCTTTTATGTAAAGACTCACTTAAATTGCACTTTTGCTTCTTGGCCTTTATTTGGTAACATGCAGTGGTTTAGATTAGAGCTGTATTTAAGGGATTCTTCATTTCATTATTCAGAACACCAAGACGCAAAGAGAAAACAAATACCTAGAGGGGGACTTTTTTGGACTTTTTTTTTAGACTATTTTAGTATTTTGCTGTTTGTTATTTCTTTAAAAACACACAGACGCTAATATCCGTACTTTAAAATTTTCAAAATGTATTTTTATTCTGCCTTATTACAGAAGGCTAATTAACACCAAGAGTCCATGTCATATAAGAAAAAAAAAAAGAGGGCTGGCCACGTAGCTCAGCGGATTAAAGCGCCTACTTAGGTAGATGCAGGGACTGGGTTGATCTCTGGCACCATAAGTGTGCCGGCCCCACCCCTGGGGGTGCTGAGAGGTGACTGAGACTGGGCATGGTGGCACGCGCAAGTAATCCCAGTGCTTGGGCGACTGAAATCAGGAGGATCATTACGAGTCCGGTTTGTGTAGCAAGATCCTGTAGACCCTGTACTAAATACATAAAAAAATTAAAAAATACATGAAAAAATGAAGCACTTATCGTTCTTAAGAACGACTTTAATATGTCAGGACTTTTCCCAACACTGAATGGACTGAAGCACAGCCAAGAGCCAGGCCGCACTGCAGCACTGAAGCACAGGCACAGCCACACGCAAGCCTTGTCCGCTGGCAGACATAAAGACCCAGAGTCCTTCCGTCAGAGATTAAGACAACAGGTAAATAAAGACAAGACAAAAGTATGACTCAGCTATATAGTTCTGTCTATCCATTAGTCTATTGGTCAATGATCCGGAACAGTCCTAAAACTGGTAAATAAAAGGTTTTCAACTACTCACAAGTTAAGAAAAATTGGGATTTTTGCTTGTTTGTTCACTACTATTTGTTTACTTAATTTTATGTATTTGGTATAGGGTGTCACTACACAGCTAGGACTCGCAGTGATACTCTTGTTTTCAGCCTCCCCAGCACTGGGATTACAGTTGTGCACCACCACGCTGGGTCTTGATGGCCGGATCAGCATGCCCACGGGTGGGGCTGGCACAGCATGTGGAAAACCAGGGATGGAACCCTGTCCCTGCACTTGCCTAAGCAGGTGCTTAGACCAATGAGCTATTTCCATGGCCCTATTTATCATTTTTTAATCTGTAAGACAGAGAGGTAGACAGGGATAGGTGATCACTATTAGTCTGAGCTATGTGGCAAGAGCCTATACCTAAGACATAATTTAAAAAAAGAAAATAGAAGCAAACCAACAAGCAAAAATCCCACCAATTTTTCTTAACTTGCAGGTAGTTAAAAACCTTTCATTTACCAGTTTTAGAACTGTTTCAAATCACTGACCAATAGCAGACTAAGGAAAAGACAGAATTAACACTGAGGCACATATATACTAGGCCTCAAAAATGACTACTAAAACAGGAACTAAACAAAGTGCCTTCATGGGATGCATGAACATAAGTAATTTCTTATGAAAATGCATTTGCCAAAAAATCTGAAAGTATATGTATTTTTTTAGTTTTTATTTTTCAAAACATAACACATTCAAAAATATTAACTGAGCTGAATTTGCAAAAGAAGTATCTTGGAAATGGAGTATAAACTTAAAAATTCACTCCTTTAGTCAAGGGCAAGTATACGGCTGGCAGGGCAGGAAATAAGAGCACTTGGAAGGTTTTTTAAGGATTACTACTGCTTATTTCAGGAGCTAGCCATAGTCTTTAAAAAAATAAAACTACGTAAAATGTCTTAATGTTTAAAGTTAAACATGACTTTAGCATATGACTGGTACACGCGATCTCAAGCTGCCTGGCTACAGGGCTTTCTTATCAGCGCTGCTCACGGTGCACTGTACTTACGTCCTGGCGCAGGACCCATCGCAACTCACTGGCTCATTTCTTTCCCTCTTCCTTCATCTCTTGGCTCCCTTCCCCTTTGAGAGACATCTGCCCCCCAACCTCCTATTGCCTATCTTCTATTTTACTCTATATCTTTGGGTTTCTCCTATCAAAGAAACTACACTATTTATGGTTGTGTATCTCTTTTATTTCACTTAACATTTGACCTCAAAATGCATCTATGTTCCTATGATTGACTCGAGTTTTCTTTCTTTATGGCAGAGCTCCACTGTGTAAATACATTTTATTTATCCACTTGTGTTTATGGACACAGGCTGCTTCCAAGATTCAGGCATTCCGAGCTGCTGTAACCACGGGTGTGCACAGATCACTGGGAGACGCTGTCTCTTCAAACAGAATTTCTAGTTGAGGTTGTCCTGGTCTATGTTCCCAACAATGGAGAGGGCTCTTTTCCCCACAGGAGCCCCTTCAGCACTTCTCATTCTTTCCTTAACGATGTCCATTCTTTCTGGGGTGAGGTGGAGGCTCAGTGCTGTTTTGATCTACATTTCTCTAATTAGCTAGATCTTCTGTCCAAACAACTTTTATTAAATTAAAAGCACATCTCAGGAGAAGAATGTCCAACCACAATGCGTCTCCAAGGCGAGAAACACCACTTACCTCAACCTGGAAAAGCTCCCCGGCACCCTCACAGTCGTTGGATGTGATCACGGGGGTGTGCACGTGCACAAAGCCTCTGTGCTGGAGGGAAAAGGAAAACCACCTTTCAGTGTCTTTGCACACGAAATGATTTTAAGAGCACACACTCTGTTGCACTATTACAATGGCCCAAGAATGGTCATGGCAAGCCCTTCCTGGGCTCCAAAACATAAGACTGGAGGAAGAGCAGCTGAGTGGCTGCTGTGCACAGAAGCACCGAGAGCCTTAAACTGGGACAGACTTGGACGTGATCTCTTCATGTCAAAGACGAGGACACTAAGTCCCAGAGAGTCAGAGAATTGCCAAAAGTCAAGCAACTACTAGAGTGGCACTGGATGGCACATGCCTGTAACTCCACACGCTCAAAGCTGAGGCGGGCGGACCACAAATCCGAGGCTAGCCTGGGCAATTCAGCAGCTTAGTGAGATCTTGTATCAACAGAAAAAAATAAAAAAAGGGCTGGGCTACAGCTCAGCATGGATGCCCCGAGTTCAAACCCTGGTACTACAAACAAACAACCAACCCATCAGCTAACACTCAAGCCCAGGCTGGAGCCTAGGCCCCAGCTTCTCCCTCTAACTGCTTTCCTACACTAGTGATGATTTCACAAACACGCTCACCGAGGCTGCTGATGCACAGGATGCTGCCCGGATGGGTCAGGGAATGCAAAGGGATCCATGAAGTGCGGTCACCTTAGAATGAAGCCTCAGCTGTCCAAACCACCAGAAAGCAGACGAAGTAAGACTAATATAGAGGGACTGAAGAAAGAGCACAAGAAGCAGGCTGACCTCCGGGGGCTCCGTCACACAGGCGACAGCACAGCGCGATGGGTGAGGGGTGCTTCTGCCCCAGAACACTCCAAGCAGCGCCAAGCCCATCCATCACCAGGCGCCCAGGCGCCCAGCCGCGGCCCTTGCTATCAGACGTCTCAGACCACTTACATTAGTGAACCACAAAGCTGCCGTTAGGGCTGAAATGACCCGTGGACTTCAAGGTTACATTCCTTTCATGTTGACTATGGATCTAAGCAAAAGGTTACCTGAGGCACAGATGCAGCAGGGTGGAAATAAAGGCAGCTGAAACTGCATTTACATATGGAGGCAGAATAGTGTGTTTAATGTGAAATTTGGGCCTTGGAACCAATACAATAAATTCATAATTTGTGTCTCTACTAAATTCTGCCTATCACAGGTGGAATGTAAAACATCTCCAGGCATTATCAAGGTCCTTGCAAATATGACCCCTTCTAAATTTAAGAATTCTGGCTACAATCTATTTAGTCAACAACTTGCCTTGTGCTAGAGACAGGTTAAATGTGCAAGCTATCAATTTGCGCCTCAGAGCCCGGGCCTATAGGTGCTGTGCAGAGAACATTATAGGGAACAGAAGAAACACAATCAATAGCACTGCTGCATAAAATTTTTATCTCTTAGGAGCCAAGAATTATGGACATGAATAATTTATTCCACAGAACACAGGCAACTGTGAGCATGAGCACAGCAAACAAAGAAAGGAAGTGAAAAATGCAAAGGAAATAAGTGTGGGAAGGGGAAGCCGAGAGAGGAGAAAACTGAAAGGCTAACGTAGCCCGGCGAGGCCTGAGTACAGGGGACAGAAACAACGCCGTACATACTGCACGAGGTAGGTGCTATACTGCATTTTAAAAATTCACACAAGAAGCGGGAATTACCTGTAATATTTAACTAATGCTAAGCCTTTTCAAAGGAGTCACCAGGATTTTAAGCTTTGATGCTGCTGGCAAGGCTTATCAAAGTTTGTAATGTTACCAAAAGCTATAAAGGAAAGTGTACAAAGGAAGAACAATGAAAGGGCACAAACAAAATGTTCAAAAAAGAGAAAGCGGGAGGGGAAACAGAAAGTACAAAAGAGAGCAAGCAGCCAGGAGAGGTGGATGCCGTCAGTAGCTGCCTGCATGGGTGGCCAGCTGCCAGATTCTTAGAGTAGACCCCAGCACAGGGCTTCCTACAGGGAGATATGAGGCCAGTGGAGGGGCCTGAATTGGAGTAAACACTTCACCCAATTTGCCAGATTTTTCTGCAACTTCCAAAGAGCTAAGTATTTTGATACACATTCTAGAACCAAGTATTGTATGAGGCTCCAAATATCCAAAAATTAAAAAAAATTATATAGTGAAGCCCATATACAACATTCAGAAGACTAATGGACTATACTTTTCTTTCACATGTAACTGAAATAACTACCGCTATGTAATGTGCATGAACAAAAAAGAAATGAGAGGAGCTGTCAGACACAGGTGCGTGACTGGGAGAAGGTGCCGAGAAGAAATAAAACACTAAAATCCTAAAACGTACCCAAGGCAGCCACAGACAGCAAAGGCATGGCAGTGTGGGCTGGAGGCCTATGTGCTCCCCACAGCAGCTCTTGGGGCGCTGAGCAAAACAGCCTGAGACAGCGACACGAGACAGGCCTGTGCTCCACTGCCTTGCCTGAAGGAGACAGCCACGTGCAGAATCCACATGCCAGGAGAAACCAGGCCTCCAAAGACAAATCTGGCTCTCCTAAATGACTCACTTTTGAGGATTCTAGACAGTGAAGCTTCAGTATACAGAAGGCATCCACTGTATGAGCAAACCCAAGTATACACAAAATTTTTTGATATTCAAACCAAAGAATAATTCTAGATCTTTAAAGTATTTGAAGTTAAAGTACTCAAGTTTTGATTTATCTCACATTCTGAGTTTTTACTGATGAATTTCAAATTTATAAAAATTTTACATTTGTTTTAATATTGGGGATTGGCCCCAGCGTCTCTGCTCTGAGCTATATCCCCAAATCATTTATTCAATTCTGAGATAGGGTCTCACGAAAGCTGCCCAGGATGGACTGACTCACTTGTATCCCCTGGCCTCAGCTCCCCAGGATGCTGGGATCACATCATGAGACCTAACGGGGAGCCCTCAGGAACAACACAGGGAAACAGTACCAAATAGTAAACAACACAGATATGATTTATTAAAACAATTCAACCTTACATACAACTGGAAAACAGAATGGGGCACTGGGCTTACAGTTCTCAGGGCTTTACAATTAAAAAGTAAACTTATGTTATTTGAAAAGTGTCAGCTGGGCATGGTGGTGCATACACGCTTGTCATCCCAGCACTCAGGAGGCAGAGGCAAGAGGACTGTAGTGAGTTTGAGACCAGCCTAGGCTACACAGGGAGCTCATGGACAGCCTGAACTGCATGGCGAGCCCCTGTCTTAAAAAAAAGACAAATTTGTTTTAAAAAGTGTCACTCTTTATAATGCTCTATTACCAATGATGCTAAATTCTTATTTTAAAGCACTTAAAAGTTTTTAAGTTCATTTGACTTATTTCAGATTTTCCTAACTTACTCTCTTAAATTATTGGCATTTCTAGAAAGCAGGTAAAGTCTATTCATCAATAGTACCACCTAGTGGCCAAAAATCTGTAAAACTTTCAGAATAAAGAGGGCTACATTATCAGCTGTTGAAGTCTTGGGGGAAAAGATTTTTTTTTTTTTTTTACATCTGAATGGACTTTGTGTGCTTCAGGCCCTCCTGAAGAGGCCTATGGAAATTCACTGTTAAGTTTATGACACGCTATGTAAACACACTTTCAAACTACACTGGGATGACATCATGTAATGTGATTTATCTTCCTTTGTTTAATCAAAAGTACATGCCTGGAAGTCATAATGTTCTTTGGTAATTTCACCAAAAATTAATTCTGATGCAGTATCTCAAAGCCTAGGAGCTCTCCTGGTGAGCTACAGCAGTACTGGGAAAGCAAGAATCTGGGTGCTCCCAAGGGAAGGCCACATGGCCTCTGCAAATGAGCTGAGTGGGAAAGCCCTCCTGGCCTCTGGTGTCCTTGCACCGACAGGAGAGGAGGATGCCTGCAGCTCGGCCACTTGCCGAACACATTCTACTGTGGCTTTCCCAGGAGGAGGAGGGAAAGGCTGAAGAGCAGAGACAAAAGGCCTTCAGTCAGCAGGACAACCGTAACTCTTCAAACCCAGTGCTTCACATCCATCAGTGCGCATCTCTATCAAAATGGAGAAAGAGGTACTGGATTTACCCTCCTCCCCAATACAACCACAAAACCAAAACAACAAACAAAAGGTAAACCACATGAAGCAATGATTATCAAGGCAGCGGATATGAGGCAATGAAAGGCAGCGACTTGTGACCCAGGAGAAGTGAGCACGGTCACCTTGCCTCCTCAGGCCCCAGAATAAGTAAGGTGGAGCCCTGTAGCCTCTGAGATGAGGAGAGCGCGCTGATTCCTTGGGGAGACCAAGGCAGCTATAACGCACAAAGTATCAGACAGAACGGGAGAGAGAACTCTATTGCTCTGCAGAGCAGTACTGTCAGGTAGAGAACTGCTCAGCACACATATGGAGGAAACCACCCAGGACTAGAAGAAGAATGATCTAAAAAGCTAGGTTGCCAGATGCGGCGGTCCACGGCTACAATCCCAGCTACGCAGAAGGCAGGATGATCCCAAGTACAGGACATCCTGGATAACTTAGCAAGACTCTGCCTTAAAATTTTAAAAAATGGCTGGGGTGTAGCTCAGTGACAGACACCCTGCACCTGGGTTTTGATCCTCAGTGCAATTAAAAAGCAAAAAACACAAAAACCAAAAGATCAGAGAAAACGGGAGTCCAGTGTTTACATGCCAGGTGTATGTCCCTGCAAGTTAGACTGGAAAAACTCATGACAATGTATTAAACACTGCAGAAGACACAGCAATACAAATATAATCTAAAAGAGAGAAAATCAACGTTTTTTAAAAAGTATGTTAATGGGCTGTGGGACACCAGTGACTTAAGACACCATGTGGATGACTTCAGCTCCCAAAGGAGGTAGCAGAAAAAAATATTTGAAAAATCACTTAAACGTTTTCATGAAAATTATAAACTCATAGATTTTTGAAATCCAGCAAATCCTAAAAAAGAAAACTGCACCAAGGCACATACAATCCAACTGGTAAAAACCCAGTGAAAGAGGAAGTCCTAACACCAGCCAAAGAGA